TCCACTCCGAAAATTTCTAGTTACGCATTTCTAAATATTAATGTACCTTACGCTCACGACGTTCGTTCTTGCCGTCGGTGGTTTCCTTCTTGACCTCCATATTGTTCCCATCGACGATCTTCATCGCTTCGACCTTCTTTTCGAGGGCCTCTTCGGCTACCTCGACAGGTATTGTCGACATCGTGGAGAGCTCGTACACACCAAGGAGATCTTTCTGTAACAGAGTAGACTGGTATCTCAGCTTGATGAACATCAAAGAGCACATACCGCTAAGAACTCGTATGTGGAATGAGAATGAACGTATGCAAAGATCTCACCACGTGGAAAATCAAAATGATAGCACCTGCCTATACGCGGATAACAAGATACAATGATGAGTTTGACAAGAAGGAGATTGGAAGCAAGATCCAATAACTTCGCTTATGATACCTAAATGATACCTAAAATTTGTTGGATACGGTCGAACGAACGAACATGAGCATCTACGCTATAATGATCTACAACACATCAATCTTAGATCATTCTCAAATGCAAAAGTACTTATTGAATTTCGAGATTTCAATGAGGAGCTTTCCAGTGAAAATTTTAAATATATTAACTCCGTAGCTACCTTCGTCAGATTCCAAACGCATAAATTATTATAGAGCGAGCTAATGACCTCTAAAATAACAAAGTTTTGATACAGAAGGATTACATTGATAAAAGACTACTGAAGAACTATTAAAGATATCGCAGATTAGTGAAAGTGGAATCTACTGATGGTCTACAGAAATAGCAATGGAAATACACATTATGTTTATAGAACTGATATTTTCCAGTTTTCTAAGAAATTCTCGCAACTTCAGAGCCTAGATTGTATAGAGAATATCCTCACAGGAAAGAAGGTTTGTCACTGATGTGAAACATTTTAAAAAAAAACTGAGCTATATCATCTTCGAATATAGCAACTTACAAATAATGGATCTGAACAACAAACAATACAAACATTCAATCTATGAGAGGTAATTTGCTTGGTATTTCCCACATGCAAGGCGTAATGGCTCTCGATAACGCAAAAGCGCTGATTTTTCGCGGAATGTGGCGCTTATCATGTGCCACGTTTAGAGTTTCGACAACATTTAGTGCCCACCTTGCTCACGTCAAGTTGTGCTCCTATAGAAAAACTGGAAGCAAGGATATTACCAAAAATGGAAACTTAGAATTTTGCTCCGCTCATCAACATGCACTTGACCTATGCAGAACCCATTCGGCCCTACTTGGACCATGTC